CACTCACTCACTCACTCACTCACTCACTCACTCACTCACTCACTCACTCACTCACTCACTCACTCACTCACTCACTCACTCACTCACTCACTCACTCACTCACTCACTCACTCACTCACTCACTCACTCACTCACTCACTCACTCACTCACTCACTCACTCACTCACTCACTCACTCACTCACTCACTCACTCACTCACTCACTCACTCACTCACTCACTCACTCACTCACTCACTCACTCACTCACTCACTCACTCACTCACTCACTCACTCACACACACACACACACACACACACACACACGCACACACACAGTCAGTCCCTAATGATCAGGGAATAAACACTGAGCATGTGATTCCAGGCGTCTGGATACAGCAGCGGTGACGACATCTACGATGATACGGAGACTCCAGACGAGGTCAAGAAAGTGGTTGAGGAGAGAGAATATGTGATGGTGAGAGACACTTCACTGAACTCACGCTAGTGGAGACGGGTCACGGGGAGGAAACTGATCACTGCTGATTATATTCTGTGTCCTATTTCTCAATGTTATTCTGAAGCTGAAGTAGCTTTTCTTTATCATCTATGCCTATAGACACTGTCTTTATAATAACACTCTAAGTGATTCACATCCAGCAAGTGATATTGACTGTGTTGAAATGCATTCACAAAACATCTTAAGGCTAACAGTAGCTCCTGACGTGCTGATTTAGGAGAAACTCTTTCATTAAAAAGAATGGGTTTGTCAGTCCTAATTGAAGGACTCTTAAATGTTTGAGTATTTCACAAAGCGCTGAAACCAGCTCCTAAATCTGTGAACAGTTAGGGCTAGTCAAGAGGACTTGTAATTCACTGAGACTGAATCACAAAGCATCCACCTCAGAACATAAACATTTTAGAATCATTTCTTGATATATGATGATTATGTTCTTCTTTTCGTGTACAAGTTGGGCAAGAAGTAACAGCTGTTCTTGTGTCCAGTTTGGTGTTCTTCTACGTTTGCACGTCTCACTATCAGCCACGATTATTCTAGTCTGTTAATTAAAAGGCTGATTATATGCATATCCACTAATTGCTTACAAGATGCAGACATGTAAGAGGCTGACGATGAACATATACTTGCTTAATTAGTGACACTAGCTTACATTTTAAAATCCTTATTTGAATATGACATTTCAATTTTAAAATCTTTAATTAAATTTGGCAACATTTTTGTTTTAATATCTTTATTTGAATATGGCCACATGATGCCTCAATTTACAATATTTCTGTGATGAACTGACTGACAGAGGCCCCTCCCCTCTCAGCCAATCACTGTGCGCATAGTTAATAAGCTTGATGACATCATCCATAGCAATGAGGTCAGCCCTGCTCTTTCTCTCCATGAGTGAAGGTTTGTCTCAGCAGCTCTGGGAACAGGTTTGAACTCTTACGTAAGAACTTCCACTGCTGTTTAGGAGAACACTTAGAGCTGAGATGACATGTTGATGATCATGTCAGAGCGTCCTGACGGTCACGGCTCTGTCCAGCAGAGGGAGACAAACACACATTTATTAGTTTATATCACAGCCCAACAAAACCACTGGGCTGACTGTTGCTAGAGGCATTATAATTCACCAGAGCGTTTTACTGGGCCATGTGTACCATATACACTACCAGTCAAAAGTGTTTGAACGGTAAGATTCTTAATGTTTTTTTAAGAAGTCTCTTCTGCTCACCAAGCCTCAACATAATCAGAAATGTTTCTCGAGCAGCAAATCAGCATATTAGAATGATTTCTGAAGATCATGTGACACTGAAGACTGGAGTAATGATGCTGAAAATACAGCTGCGCATCACAGAAATACATTACAGTTTAACAGATATTCACATAGAAAACAGTTATGTTAAATACGAAACATATTTTTAAATTGTACTGTTTTTGCTGTATTATGGATCAAATAAATGCAAGCTTGGTGAGCAGAAGAGACTTCTTTAAAAAACGTAAAAAATCTTACTGTTCAAAAAACTTTTGACTGGTAGTGTATATGGTTCATTTTTTAAATTAATGTTCTCTTTTCTTTTTATTTATCTATAATATAAATGATACATGCTAATATTTATCTAAATGAAGACCTAAAAAGGGCAAAAGGCATGAAGTGTTGATGTGCCAGGGTCTGAGATCACTGCTCCTGACTGATTCAGTGATGCTCAGGCTTTATTCCCTCTGCTTTCTTCGGTTGTTCGGTGTTCAGTCGGAGGATGTGGAGTCCGGTCCGATGAGAGCGCCACCTACTGAATCTCCCTCGTTCAGCACTGAGACAGATGACGAGGACCTGGAGGAAGGCTCTGGAGAGGACATCATCATCATCGGCGGTCCGAAAGGTGAACGCGTTCACAGGAGTCTTCAGATCATTCTCCTGTCTTTCACTTTGCTGTTTTTGAATCCACAGCAGTCTTCTCTTTCACTTCAGCAGTCCTCTGATATTTTCCTGAGCCCAGAGTTTACATGACAAGCTTTCATCTGATTTGTTTATGCAGATTTTTTTGTGTTTCTCTGTCACTGCAGAGCCGATCAGATCAGAAGGAGCTTCTCAGGACAGAAATGTGAGTCAGATTCGGTTTTCTTCTTTCACGCTTTCTCTCGTGATGATTACAGCTGACTGTATTTGCTGCTTGTGTTTTCTCAGGTCATAACCATGCAGAAGGGAGAGAAAGGAGAGCGAGGGCCCCCGGGGCCTCCAGGACCCGCCGCTCCACACACACCAGGAGAGCCAGGGCCCCGGGGCCCACAGGGACCGCCTGGAGAACCAGGACGAGACGGCCGGCCTGTGAGTAAACCAGAACAGCGTCTTCAACAATCGCTGTCAAATCATCACTTTTGCCTTGTTTTTACAGTTACCTGAAAAGCTAAATTATTTATAATATACACTACTGTTCAGAAGGGCTCAGTATCTCAGAATCGCTCAGAATCAGATCAGATCATTCTGTGGTTAGTTGATTCTGTCTTTGGCAAATCCCATCATTATTGAGCTTCACTTGTGAACGGCTGATTGAGTCAGTGATTGGCTGCACAGTCAATGCTTTGCTGCTGGTAAGCAGTGTTAATATGTGCTGCGGAGCGTTGCAAACCTATGGATGTTTTTTAGTTCGTTTTTTGCAAGCGTTGATCATGAAAGAAGAGTTTTTGGTGGCATCTGGCACTGCAGGTGTTTGAAGCAGCATTTATTCTCTCACGCACACATCATTAATGAGCTGTTTCCAGAACATCTCAGAGGACAAGAAACGGACAGATAGACACATATGCTGTATTAATGCTGAATTTGTGCTCTTACAGGGTGATCCAGGGAAAGATGGAGCTCCGGTGAGTATCTTCTCATGCACAGGTTCTGTGTAGATATATATGATATGAGAGTCTTAAACTAATAAACACTAGGGGGGAAAAGTTTAACTATGTATTCACATATAGAAAATGGCTTTTTAAAAGTTGTAATAATACAGTATTTGACAGTTTTTACTGTATTTCTGATTAAATAAATGCAGCTTTGGTGAGCAGAAGAGACTTCATTCAAAAACATTAAAAAAACAAACTTTAGTGTATATTGATATATGTTTTTAGTTTTTATATTGTTCTCAATGATATATAGCCTTTGTGAAAGCTTTGCTTTTCGATGTGAAGTGAAACTGCAACAGATGTTTTGCTAGCAGCCTCAGATGTGGAAACAGAAATGGAAATGCTTGTGAAATGCAAGCTTTAAGTCCCATGAGCTGGATATGACCAAACCAAACCTAGAACCAGCAGCAAAGCAAACTCAGCGTCAGCATCAAGCCTTTAATGCACCACGCTGGGGTTTTACTCAACAGTAGCTTGATGTTTTGACTCTGTGCACGCTATAGGCTGTGTATTTTACTCGTTCCTGACCACAGCAGAGGAATACATGCTGATGTTTCAGTGAATGAATGAATGAATGTGATCGTTTGCTTTGTTTTCCTCTCTTTCTGTCACGTTCAGCGAGAGGCTGGACCTCCGGGATTCCCGGGCCTTCCTGGAGATCCAGGTCCCAAAGGTGACAAGGTATGACACACACTGGCTGAATATGCTTTATAATAGCATGCCTAATAAACCTATAGAGTGTGACAGTCAGGTTTCAAAAGTAACATTTGCATTTATTTTCTCCATGTTTAGCGATTAACTGTTAAAGACAGACCTATTATGAGCTCCGAGGTTGTTAACCGATGGTATATGCTTTTGTGGATGCCATCAGGCCACATTATTTCAACTTATATTTAAAATAGCGTTTAACAGCAGAATTTGTGATGAAAAGCTACATTACCCATGATGCTGTGCAAAACTTCCACCAATCAGAGAGTCTTGGTGAGGCCAAAAGAGCTCTTTAGCTCCGCCCACTCACACAAATCATAAAAATGCTTAAATATGTGTATACATGTATGCATATTTTGCAATAAACTTGAAATATTTTGTTAATGTAAATACAATCCAATGCATAGTTTGATATTTCTCCATCATTTTTAATTCGCTGATGTTGTTTGCAGCGCTTCATGGGATTGTAGTTCTTTCCCTCATCAAAACCATCAATTTCACAGTCTTTTATCTTTGTCTTTTTGTCCAATTTTCAATACTTTTTTTTCTTCAAATCAAAGTTTGTGATGTTGTGATTCTCCTCGTAGCTGGTTGGTTTGGTTCACGGATTATAATGCTTAGATTATAATAACATGATGAATTTGGGCCGATCACAGCAAGCGATCCACTCATGTTTTTAGGGTGATCCTGGTGTGGGCATCCCGGGGCCGCCTGGACCTCCCGGACCTGCAGGAACATACAAGTATCCGGTATGTACCATTACATGTTATTATGTGCATATTGATATAATTATGCATGTCATAACAGCAGATGGCCTGACTGTAAACTCAGAGCGTTTCCCGTGAGCAGGACGGCATCGACGGCTCCGGATCGAGCTACGTGGATCTGGACAGTGACGCAGAGCTGATACGGGTGAGTTATTACAGTCACAGGAGCTGGAGTACCTGCGGAATGAACTCTGAGACACGAAATAATGATTTAACACTGAACAAAATGAGACATGAGGTAGTCATTATATACATGTGTAAGATGTGTGCATATGAGTTGTCAGACAGAATTTGGTGCTCAGGTTAATTTACATTGTGTTGGACTCTCATCAGGGTCCTCCAGGGCCACCGGGACCTCCGGGCCCTTCTGTCGGAGCTCATCCGGGGCCCATCGGGCCTCCAGGGCTTCCTGGAAGAGACGGGGAGACGGGCAAACCTGGCGTCCCGGTGAGTGAGGATCAGTACTGATTCACTGAGAAACAAGCAAGTGCTTCTAGACCTGTGTGTCTAACTGAGCTGAAGCTCTTCAGAAAATGAAAGTTCAGTTATTATTTACTCACACTCATTCCTCATGAATAAACTGTCTGATTTTCTTTGAATGGAGACACTGTTGATGACCAAAAAAAAAAAAAAAAAAAGACAATACAAATTATTTAAGTTTTCTCTTAAACCATACAATAATTTAATTTTAAGTATCATATAAATATACACAGCATTCAATAGTAACTGATGGATTCAATTGCTGAAAAGTGACAATAAAGACATTTATAATGTTGCAAAAAAAAATTATATTTCGAATAAATGTTGTTCTTTTCTATTCACCAAAGAGTTCTAAAAAATAAGATGTTTCCACAAAAATATTAATGTTTTCAACATCGCTAATAATCAGAAATGTTTGTTGAGCAGCAAATCAGCATATTATTATGATTTCTGAAGATCATGTGACACTGAAGACTGGAGTAATGATGCTGAAAATACAGCTGCGCATCACAGAAATACATTACAGTTTAACACATATTCACACAGAACACAGCTGTTTTACATTGGAATAATATTTCACAGTTTTTACTGTATTTTTGTTTAAATAAATGCAGCCTCGGTGAGCAGAAGCCAACCAAACTCTTCTTTCAAAAATGTTTATGAAAAACAGTCCACAATACTCTTTTATTTACTGTAGTCATTTTTGTAGCTTTGGTCTACATTCATTTTCATTGTGTGGAAAGGAACAGCGCGAGCATTTGACAAAACATCTCCTGTTGTGTTCCACAAAACTGCGAAGGTCATGTGGTGTGTTTGAGTCCTGATGGAGGTGTGTTGCAGGTGATTGAGGACTGGTTTAGTGGCTCTGGGTTTGAGCTGGACTCAGAAGAGGTAGAGCTCCTGTCACGATGGTAAACTCAAACCATCATGTTCCAGACACAGAAATCTGATTCTCACCGGCCGCTTCTGCCTTCATCACACGCAACCTTCTACATCACGTCACAATCCAGTGTGTGGAAACGTGTCCTCCGTGATGTAGAAAAACACTGTAAAAGGGGCTGTTATTTAGCAGATGGAATAAAATACATGCACTAAAGCACTACTTCACTGTACTCTAGAAGCTTGTTACCAACATGGGATAAAAATAGAAAAAAAATAATTTGCGACTTTTTGTTTCAGAATTCTGACTTTTTTTTTTTTTTTTGCAATTCTGAGTTTATATCATGATTTAAATTTTTTTCTTGCATTTCAGAGAAAAACAAGTCAGAATAGCAAGAAATAAGTCAGAATTGAGAGTTCTGGTCATTCTGAGCTTATATCTTGAAGTTCTTTTTTCTGAATTCTAAGTTTACATCTTGTTTTACACATCTCATTTTTTTCTTCACTATGAATAAAACATTTTTAAAAACTTTTAAAATGTATCTTTTTGGTGGGGGGTGGGCGGTTTAATTGTGACTTTCTATCTCACAATTCTTTTGCTTGTGATTCTGAGTTTATATAATATTATATATTAAAATTTCTTTATATAAAAAAGACAGAATTGTGAGATATAAACTCAGAATTGTAAGAAAAAAGTATATATATATATATAATCCTGTGTTGGAAGGAATTGCTTCCATAATGTAAAATGGAATAATAAATAAATATAAAATTCTTAATGAAAATCCTTTAGATGTCATAATGCCATTACTGGACCGTTTGAAGGGTTATTACAGTTATGAGAAACATTACATGACCTACTTATCCAGACCTCCGGATTGAAGTAATTGTTCCCAAATGTTTTGTGTTGGGTGAAAATTAAAATTAATATTTTTTTCCCAAGATGATCAGATTAGCATTAATCCAATAAAGTTTAATAGATGAACATTGACCCGTAAAGCTGTGACTCGAGCTCAGATCAGCCCGGAGGAGCGCGAGATGAGGGTGAAGATGAAGGAGTTCAGGTTTCATTTCTTCTTCATATGAACTGACATTCATCTGCTGAGCTCGGATGATGTGTTATGATTTATGATTAAACTGCCTTGGAAATGACAAAACTACTACTAACTTCCTGTTTCCTGCTTAAACACAGTCACAAAAACCTGACGCTTCTCTGACAGGACAGCTTTCCTGAACGACTGCTCAAGAAAACACTAATAACACCTGAGTCAAGAAAAGACAATGGGATTGTGTTCAGTGCAAGAGGTCTTTATGTGGTGATTTCTCTCATTTTAGGGTGAAAATGGACGAGACGGTCAACCAGGAAAAGATGGAGAAGAAGGGCAGAACGTAAGATATTTGATTAGAAAATGTGGCATTTTTCCAGGCTTGTATTTATCACTGTCTGTTGATTTTATTCTTTATTTAATTCCTGTAGTCCTCTCTTGCTGTCTTGGACATGTCTTGTGTTTTTTTGGCAGGGTGAAGCAGGTTTACCTGGAATCATGGGACCAAAGGTAATGTCGTTTGGATCACACAGGTGTTTCAGATCAGTTTGCCAGATTCACTAAATTATGAGTAAAAAAGCAAACGATCAGAGATGTGTTATGAGTTTGAAGACTTGACTGAACATTACTAGACTGTTATAGCTTTAGAAGTGATCTTTGTCTTCAGGGTGATGCGGGCCAGCCGGGGCTCCCAGGACAGACGGGGGCTGAGGGCCCCAGGGGTCAGCCAGGCTCTCCGGGGCCCCCTGGACCTCCAGGAACAGGCTTCAGCTTTGACATGATGGTGTGTTTCACTGACCTTCAGATTTATTGATTTGACAGGTTTTTATTTATTTGTTTATTTACATGTGATTATTGGATAGTTGTGACCCTGGACCACAAAACCAGTCATAAGTGTCAATTTTTTTGAAATTGAGATTTATGCATCATCTGAAAGCTGAATAAATAAGCTTTCCATTGATATATGGTTTGTTAGGATAGGACAATATTTGGCTGAGATACAACTATTTGAAAATCTGGAATCTGAGGGTGCAAAAAAATCCAAATATTGAGAAAATCATCTTTAAAGTTGTTCAAATGAAGTTCTTAGCAATGCATATTACTAATCAAAAATTAAGTTTTGATATATTTACGGTAGGAAATTTACAAAATATCTTCATGGAACATGATCTTTACTTAATATCCTAATGATTTTTGGCATAAAAGAGAAATGGATAATTTTGACCCATACAATGTATTGTTGGCTATTGCTACAAATATACCTGTGCTGCTTATGACTGCTTTTGTGCTGCAGGATCACATTTTATTAAAGGAGTACAGATTTGTATTCGTTCACATATGTTCTCCTTTATCTAATATTAGATTTTGTCTGAAGAACTGAAAGCACTTGAAAGTGAAGTTGATACTTGCGTTTGAATTAGTGAAATGAGCTGAACTCGGGGTTTGGCCTTTGAATAGAGCCTTTGAAAACGGAAATGTTGTGTTTTTTTCATTCGATGTCTGCTCTGCGGCAGGATTTGGAGGGCTCGGGTCTGGATGGAAGCAGTGGTTTCAGACCTGTGCTGCCCAGAGGCCCGCCTGTACGTACATCCACATTTACTGAGGCTTTCTGGCTCTCACAGCTGAACTGCAGCTCATTCTCATGTATTTTCTCATCCTCAGGGCCTTCCTGGGCTCCCAGGACCTCCAGGGCCACAGGTACACACAGAGATCTGCACAAAAACACAAAGAAATCTGGCATGATCTATCAACACTGTAAAACCTAGATATGGCATCTATCATGTGATTTTATATGTCATTAGCTGGAATCACCGTATAGAGAATGCAAACCTAGTGTTAAAGGTGCCTTAGTTTTTATTTAAATGAACCCAACTCTACACTTTCAGGGAAAAGAAGGAGCCGTTGGCCCTCCAGGTGTTTCAGTGAAGGTCTGTGCTCCTCACACACAATCACATACACACACACACACACACACACACACACACACAAACACACACACTCACACAAACACACACACACACACACACTCTCTCTCTTCCACAACTGTTTCCATTCCAAGCGTGCCGTTCCCATCCACGTGTTCCCCATCAGCCACAAGTTTCCTATCTTTAGCACAACTGTAAGAGTCAGTGAATGCATCTCAGGCCTTGACCTCCTTCATAGTGCAATTCAAAGTAGAAACACATTATAATGGCTTTAAATTACATAACACACACAGTTACAGAAGTTGGATTCAGGAAGTTATCAGCTAAATCAGATTCCAAAATAATTGCTCCCATGATCTGTGGCAAACGAACAATCTGCCGTAAACACCATTAACATAGCTGTACATATTCATAGAAGTTCTGCATAGAATAACTATATTATATATTATTAATATGTCATATTAATATTATCAGACTTATGATAATCAGTTCTCCTCCACTCCACTAGGGGGAGCCGGGCGCTAAAGGAGACGATGGACAGGCTGGGGCTCCTGGTCTGCCTGGGCGACAAGTAAATACACAAAACAAAATAGGCTGTAAAACTTGATCTTAATTAATGTAGTCAATCTATATTTCCATCAATTTATGGATACTTTTTTTTTTTTTTTTTTTTTTTTTTTTTTGCTGTTTTTTGACTTTTTTCATAGGGGGAAGGGGGAGAGAAAGGTGATATGGGTCAGAAGGTTTGTATTCTCATCACATTTGTGGCGTATCTCTCTCAGAGCCGTCAGCTTCGATGCTAATAATTGATGTGTTTTGTGTTTCAGGGAGAGAGAGGTCTAGATGGAATCGGTTTACCTGGATCTCCGGGGCCTCCTGGACCTCCTGGACCAATCATTAATCTACATGAGGTGAGTCCATTAATGTCTCACATTTTTAAGGATATGGATGCTAATTCCAATGCATTTGTTTTGAACTGTTTCTCCACCCTCAGTTGATGCTGAATGACACTGAAGGAATCTTTAACCTCTCAGGGATTTTTGAACCACAAGGACCATTGGTAAGAAGCCTTTCCTTTCCTTTCCTTGCCCTGCTTGTTGTTTGTTCATGGCCTGATCAGTATGGCTTAAGTAAACTTCATCGACACCAAACCAAAAACATCTTCTTGTTTAATCATATTCACCTGCTAACCCTGAAGTGCAAATAAAATTCACAAACAAGAACACAAAACAGCGAATCAGAATTGAAAACAATGAATCTGAAAACACAACAGATGAGACAAGACAACTGCAAATCAGAAAAGACAAATCAAAAAAGCACAACAGCGAATCAGAAGACACGACAACGAATCAGAAGACACGACAACGAATCAGAAAACACGCCAGCAAATCAGAAAACACTACAACGAATTAGAAAGCACTACAACGAATCAGAAAACACTACAAAGAATCAGAAAACACGACAACGAATCAGAAAACACGCCAGCAAATCAGAAAACACTACAACGAATTAGAAAGCACTACAACGAATCAGAAAACACTACAAAGAATCAGAAAACACTACAAAGAATCAGAAAACACAACAACAAATCAGAAAACACAACAACGAATCAGAAAACACTACAACGAATCAGAAAACACAACAGTGAATCAGAAAACACAGCAGCGAATCAGAAAACACAGCAGCGAATCAGAAAACACGACAGCGAATCAGAAAACATGACAGCGAATCAGAAAACACAGCAGCGAATCAGAAAACACAGCAACGAATCAGAAAACACGACAGCGAATCAGAAAACACGACAGCGAATCAGAAAACACGACAACGAATCAGAAAGCACTACAAAGAATCAGAAAACATGACAACGAATCAGAAAACACGACAGCGAATCAGAAAACACTACAACGAATCAGAAAACACTACAACGAATCAGAAAACACAGCAGTGAATCAGAAAACACAGCAGCGAATCAGAAAACACAGCAACGAATCAGAAAACACGACAGCGAATCAGAAAACACGACAACGAATCAGAAAACACGACAACGAATCAGAAAACACGACAACGAATCAGAAAACACAACAACGAATCAGAAAACACAACAACTAATCAGCAAAAAGAACAACGAATCAGAAAACATAACAATAAATCAGAAGAAAAACTGCGAATCAGAAAAAAACAACAACAAATCAGAAAAAAACACAACAGTGAATCAGAAAAGAAATAGAAAAACAAATCAGAAAACATAACAATGAATCAGAAAAAAACAACAATTAATCAAATAACACAACGAATCAGAAACCATAACAACAAATCAGAAAAATACAACAATGAATCGGAAAAAAACAGTGAATCAGAAAACACAACAATTATTTGGAAAACATAACAGCGAATCAGAAAAAACAGCTAATCAGAAAACACAACAATGAATCGGAAAACAGAACAATGAATGAAGAAACATTAATAATGAATCAGAAAAAAAAACACAACAGTGAGAAATGTCAGAAATGTTGTCTGACATTCTTTAGCCATTCTGGATGTCCCCTTGCTTTAATATCAATACTATGAAGAAGTTATTATGAAGTCAATTATTATGAAGGTTCACTTTTAAACTCAATAAATGAACTCCAGATGGAAACGCATACAATTTAAAATTCACATTTAACAAAAGTATAGTCATTTGTATGGTTCAATATAAATTCAGTAGAAGCTTAACAAGCATGAAATATCATTTATCATTGTCTTAAAATATGGCTGTCAGCCTGTACTCGTACTTTTGGCCATAGTATTCCAACTATTATTTTTCTTTATATTTCTCACTGTGTTTAATTCCAAAGCTACTGTCATTCTATTTCAAAAACACAAACAGAAATGCTGAAGAAAGATGAGCGTGGAGATTATGGTACAATAGCTGCTCAAAACCACACGGAATGCACAGGAATGTAAACACACTGCGGTTTAATTGCATTATTTACAACAAGTCACCAAGTTGCCTGTGGAATTGTGTTTTAAACAATTACGACACATTAGCTTTGCTTTATTGCGTAATTTACGGGCACTGACGAGTAGAAGTGAAGCGAAATAAACAGAGATCTGCACAGCATGTAAACATCTACGCCTGTGAAAGGTCCCTCAGAGCAGAGCTTTCTGCTTCAGAGTCAAATGCTTACACTTCTTTAGACTTTATGCCACAATACATAAATCCATTAGAGCTTCCAAACGTGCCGTGCGGTTTGAGATAATAACCCAGACGCTGCTTCACAAAAACACACTATATATTGTGATGTCTCAGTGGAACATTTAACTAGAACAATTACTGGAATTCAGTAAGTGTTTCAGCATCTGAAATTAAGTATATTTTTAAGTTAATGTAAGTAATTATAGTTGAAAGTCTTGGTTTGAGAAGCATGAATATTTGTGTGGTTTTTGCACTTCAGAAAATGTTTAAATCTACTTTATGGGTTAATTATCTTACAGCAGCGGTGACAAAATTACTTTGTTTTATTCCACCAGGGACCAAGGGGTCCGAAGGGGGATACCGGGGCCCCGGGGGTTCAGGGGCCTCCAGGATTAAAGGTAAGTTCATTTTAGATGTGTATGTAGTGCAGGGGCCTGTGTCTTAAGAACTTTGAACTCAACTAGCAGTTAGCCAAGGGGTAAGAAGTCTTATTTTTATTTAAATTAGACCAAGCTACATTTTTATGTAACTGATAAAAAAAAGAAAAAGTTATGATCAGTCTTAACGAAAAACATCAGATGACTAACCTTTAAGACAAGTCTAAGCCTTTTATGCAGCTGGCCACAAGTGTGAAAGTGTGTGTGTGTGTGTGTGTGTGTGTGTCTGTCTGTGTGTGTGTGTGTGAGAGAGAGTGTGTGTGTGTGTGTGTGTGTGTGTGTGTCTGTGTGTGTGTGTGTGTGTG